TAGTGCTATTGCTAACTGTACATTGACAGTGATGATTATTGATCTGAAAACGTCATTTGAAACATTAATGCTCAGTCAGTGATGAGAGGGTTTCTCCGTGTCTCTCAGGAGCTGTGTCGCCAGCACATGGCAGCCAAGTCATCGTTCACCCGTCCGGAGCCAGGTGGTCGACGGGGGACCGACACATCTCGAGTCAGCAGTGTGTCGTCTCAGTTCAGCGATGGACCGCAGCACAGTCCCAGCTCTCACAGCAGCACACCGTCCTGGAGCGAAGAGCCTGCACAGTCCAACATGGACATCTCCACCGGACACATGATACTGGTACACAGCCACAAAAGCATTTTAAATACACAAATTATAATTCAGACTTTACTTTGCTAGTGTGTGTAATATGCAGCATCTTTCTATGTGCTGTAAAAAGTGAGAATCATACTCTAATTAACAGGAATTATTGCACTACAGTTTCTGACTGTTCAGCACATATTAGTAAATAGGGTGCAGTACCTGCTTGCACAAACCAAGTCTATATTTAAACATGCTCAAAACTGCAGTAAATTTAGGCAAAGAAGAATTATTAGAGTTTTGTCTTCATGTTTTATTTTACTTATATTAGTCAGTTCTGAGGATTAAGTTGGAGTCTTTTTTGTCATGCCAAGTTGTTTATTAATTACATAAAAGCAAACTAGGCATTTCATGAGCAGTCAGTGGAATGCTTCAAGTCCATTTCTGTTGTTCAGGCATATATGGAGGACCATCTGAAGAATAAGGACCGATTACGGAAAGAGTGGGAGGCTTTGTGTTCGTACCAGGCTGAGCCGAGCTCTGTCTCTATCGCCCAGTCTGAAAGTAACATGGAGAAGAACCGCTATCCCGACTTTGTGCCCTGTAAGAGCAACGTGCCTTTAAAAACAAACAAACATTATTTCAGTGATCTCATCCATATACACTATACACTACATTAAGAGTTTTTGGGAAAGAAATGAATCACTTTTATTCAGCAAGGACACATTAAATTGAACAAAAGTGATAGTAGAGACATTAGATTTCTACGTCAATTTCTATTTTTATAAGAAAATCATTAAGCAGAGCAACAGTTGTCAACATTGCTAATACTAAGAACTGTTTCTTGAGCAGAAAATCAGCATACTAGATTGATTTCTGAAGGGTCACGTGACACTGAAGTCTGCAGTAATGATGCTGAAAATTCAGCTTTGTCATCACAGGAATGAATTACTTATTAAAATATATTCAAGTAGAAAATGTTATTTTAAATTGTAATAATATTTCACAATATTACTGTTTTTAGTGCATTTTTTAGCAAATAAATGCAGCCTTACAGTCTTGATTTTTTTCAAAAACTTTACAAAATCTTACTGACCCAAACTTTTGAAAAGTATTGTACACTGGTAGATGCAAATAAGGGTATACCAAAAATTACTTGATTTTTTTTTTTTCATTTTCAGTATGTTTAATTAAAACATTTGATGTTTTAGATGACCATTCGAGAGTGAAAATAAAGGCAGAGGTCAACCCCTCAAAAGAGGACTACATAAATGCCAGCACTATAGTAAGAAACCTTAATCTTCATTCCACAACAAAACAAAGTCATTGCTGTATGCTAGATAATTAAATACTTGTTTGTTTGTTTGTTTGTCTATAAAAGGACTTCCTTTCTTTACCCATAGATTGATCATGATCCACGTTTACCTGCTTATATTGCAACTCAAGGACCTTTACCGCACACTATTGCTGATTTCTGGCAGGTAAGAGTTGAGAGTAATGATGACATTTTAAGATTTAGATTTAACAAATAAAACATTTTTAAATATTTATAAAATATGAATATTAGAAAAAAAAAATCACAAAAATATAAATTACTAATATATTACTAAATGGCTATAAATGGAATAACAGTAAAATGATTTAGATTAAATGAATATGCATGGCCTATATATAAATTATTTGTATACTGACACTGTGTTTTGGTGCATATGTTAGATGGTATGGGAGAACGGCTGTACTGTAATAGTGATGATGACCGCTCTAGTGGAGGATGGAGAGAAACAATGTGAACGTTACTGGCCTGATGAAGGATCATCTTTATACAACATCTATGAGGTGAGAAACATTCAGTTTCATTGCCCTAAAAGTCCCTTGTGTTTAGTTTTTGTCTTTACTACCTATTTTTTCTTGTATGTCTCAGGTGAACCTGGTATCTGAACACATCTGGTGTAAAGACTTCTTGGTTCGTAGTTTCTACCTGAAGAACGTTCAGACTCAGGAGACCCGCACTCTGACCCAGTTTCACTTGCTGAGCTGGCCTGCACAAGGCATTCCCTCCTCCACACGGCCCCTGCTGGACTTTCGCAGGTACATTCTGATAGGACTACAGACAGATTACACACACACACATCAGGTAGTAGCTCCTCAAAAATTTCAGATGAGGAAATAATTTGACAATACAGAAATAGCTAAACATATGTACTAAACGATAATAGTGTGCAAATGAAGTAATCCTGTCCAATAGCAGCACGGCTGGATAGAGTTTCAGAGGGAGGCAGCATCTTTTTTTCCCTCATGGAGAACATAATGCCGGATTCATATGACATAATGTTCACAAAACGGTCTTAAAATTGGTAAAACTGGTGGATAATTACAGAATAAACATTTCCACAGTCACATCCGAATTGATATTGAACACAAAATTAACTGTAAGCGAGACAATTTTTAGTGAGCGCTCTGCAGAAGAATAAATTGTAGGGTTGGACAAACCGACAGTTATGCTCATTATTACATGCTCAGTTTTTCATTTTCTTTCTCTCTTCTATCCTCCCTTTTTCTTTTTTTTAGAAAAGTAAACAAGTGCTACAGAGGACGCTCATGCCCAATCATTGTGCACTGCAGGTAAACGGCTACCAGTGTGTCTCAGGCTCACAATATGGGCGTTTTTTATTACTGTTATTGAAAATGAATGATTTAAATGGGTTTCCTGTTTCGCACAGCGATGGTACTGGCAGAACCGGCACCTACATTCTTATTGACATGGTACTTAACCGCATGGCGAAAGGTAAGCACCATGTTCCTCTATCTAGCCGTTTCATTTCATGTACGCACCGCATGCTCATAGTTTGTCTGTATTAGGCGTGAAGGAGATTGACATTGCCGCCACACTGGAGCATATTCGTGACCAGAGACCTAGTATGGTACGCACTAAGGTATGTACAAAGTGCTTTCCCATGATTTCAGCACGTGGTTGTGAGAGTGAATTCATGCACTAAGCTCGATTGTTTCTTCAGGACCAGTTTGAGTTCGCCCTGACAGCTGTGGCAGAAGAAGTGAATGCCATTCTGAAAGCCCTTCCTCAGTGAGCCACATCCCACTGTGTTACTATTACATCTTTTTCACTTACACTTACCCCTTTTCATGCACCTCACTCCTTTTCACAAGTCAGAAATGAATGTTGTCACTCTTTAAAAGACTGAAAGCTTTCTGTATGCTGGAAACGCTTTGCAGGGGCCAAATTCTTCAGAGTTTCAGGGAGAAATGGTGGTTTTAAGAGAGATTTGCATTCCACACAAGCATCAGATTTAAAGTGTCCTAATTTATGAAAACTGACAGTATAATGTTGTCTTTTTTTTTATAAATATACATAGACATATAATGTTTGATGTTGAAAAATGCAGGTTTTTTTCTTAAAATGCTTTCTTTACCATGGCCAAAAATGCAATTCATGTATCAAATGTAGAAACGACAAAAGAACCCAGCATGTCTCATGCAGTCAAACATGAGAACATATATGCACAGTCATGTCTGAACTGAATTCATTGGAAGGTACCTGAAAGGCACCTGTAACATCTGGTTCCTGTCAAATCTCTTACGAACATTCAGTGCTTTCACATCTTTAATGTCTAGTGCAGTCTTTATGTCGTGTGATCACTGTAAATAATTCACAGAGAGCTCTGTTTGTTTATTCCTATAGCAAATGTGTAGAAAAATATAAAAACGAGAAATATATGACTAATTTTTAAATGGTTCTGAATTAAATGTGAATCTGTGTAGCAGCACTGCTTGATGTGTGTGGCTTCTCTCTTTCATTATGACCATGCATTTATTAAAAGATATATGTTTGTCTGTAGAAAAATGCTTTTCGCCTGTAGACTGACTGTGTAGTTAAGGCATCACTGGCAGGTGACGATGAGGCCATGCTAACTAGTCAAACCTTGATGACGTTTGTAAATAGTCATTATTTTTGGTACCATGTGTAAGCCACAGAAATGACACTTAACCTTTACAAATCACACAAAAAAAATACTTATTACCCCTTTATGTCTTGGCAAATCTACACTAACATTCAAACGTTTGGGGTCAGTAAACATTTACGATGTTACAAAAGACCTTTCTATTCATCAAAAAATCTGGAATTTTTTTTTTTTTTTTCGGTTTCCACAAAACACTAAGCAGCAACACTGTTTTCAACATTGATAATAAATGATAAAGAATGTTTCTTGAGCCTCAAATCAGCACATTAGAGTGATCTCTGAAGGATCATGTGACACTGAAGACTGGAGTAATGATGCTGAAAATCCAGCTGTGCATCACAGGAATAAATTACATTTTAAAATATATTCACATAGAAAACACTTATTTTACAATATTACTGCTTTAACTTTATTTTGCATGCAGTCTTGGTGAGAATAAGATTATTTCAAAAACATTTTAAAAACTTGCAGACCCAAAACTTCTGAACCGTATAGTGTATAAAAACGACTGCAAAATAATGAGTTATGAAAAGCAGAGGTTTCAATGAAAACACAAGAAACCCTTCTGAATAAATAATAACCCTTTATCAAGTTATGAAGATTTTAAATTCTCAAATATAGCATTCAAGTGCAACTATACATTCATTGCAGCTTTGAATCATTCATTATTAAAATGTTAATGAACTTTGTCCTTAAGACACTTGCATTTTTATATTAGTTCATATATTTGATCAGTGCAGGCCATACATTTAATTAATATATAAAAAGTAATCCAGTATTGCCTTTCCAAGACTCAGAACACATTCATACACGAACACACTTAGCACATACATTTTTGACCTTTGTGTAGTGTTGCCCAGGATTTTTTATTTTTTTTCTTCAAATAAAACTTTGAAAAGGCTCTGAGCAGCAGGTGTGCCAGGCAGAGAGAGACAAAGAAGCAGAAAGAGAGAGCAGAGCACCGGGGAACGCTTCACCTGTTAAGAGCAGACGGATGAATCCAGTATTAGTGATGCTTCACAGTTTCTTGTGTTGTGTTTGATGAATTAAAACCACACAGAGTAATAAAACTGAGGACTGTTTGTTATTTTGACTCTACTTAAGTATTTATATGCACAAATGACTCATGTATAGTTCCATATTTTCCTGGAATACTGCATGCTCTACAGAAGGTAAACTACACTGCAAACTCTCAGGTAATTACACAAATACACAAATGTTCATGAACTGAATAATGGGGAGAAGAGCTGAAACTACGCTTAAGAGCTGCAGAGACGTCTACACTACGTTTTACCTCGGGGGGGGTAAGAGGGGGTCACAGCCACAGGTCAGCCTGTGAAGGCCTGGAAGTCGGACTCTGTAACGGCAGGGAGAATGAGTCAGGTAAAACATAATCATAAACATAAGAAATGCACATGAGGTTTACATATGAGTGGGAATGATGATATGAATGTGCTGGAAATGACAACAATCACACTGGGAAAAAAAATGAAATTACATGCTTCAAATGAAAGGTGGATTGCAGCAGCAAGCGAAAAGGGATTTAACATATAATGCAAAGCCTCTCAGCTGAAATGTTATGAGTCAGGTAAAACATAATCATAAACATAAGAAATGCACATGAGGTTTACATATGAGTGGGAATGATGATATGAATGTGCTGGAAATGACAACAATCACACTGAAAAAAAAATGAAATTACATGCTTCAAATGAAAGGTGGATTGCAGCAGCAAGCGAAAAGGGATTTAACATATAATGCAAAGCCTCTCAGCTGAAATGTTTATTTTTTTCTGGAGTTGTATTCTCACAATTTGAATTTAAAGGCATACAGTTCATAAAAAGCTGCTGTTTTTATTAGGTAAACTGGAGAAAAAAGTAAATGGATAAAAATTTGCGGTCCATCAAAATACTTTTTATGCTGACAATTTCAAATGAATTCTTATGAGCAGAATGTATTTGCTAGCATTTATTGTTTCTCATATTAGCAACAGCATGACTGATATTTTTTTCTGGAGTTGTATTCTCACAATTTGAATTTAAAGGCATACAGTTCATAAAAAGCTGCTGTTTTTATTAGGTAAACTGGAGAAAAAAGTAAATGGATAAAAATTTGCGGTCCATCAAAATACTTTTTATGCTGACAATTTCAAATGAATTCTTATGAGCAGAATGTATTTGCTAGCCACAGGTCTTTCTCATATTAGCAACAGCATGACTGAAACAGCATTTATTAACAATTTAGCCATTTAAATAGCACTTTCTGAGCACTGAATATGCCCTCTGAATTATAACTTCTGAGAGAACGATGTTGTCTTCAAATGTAAATAGCAGTTTTGTGTAAATCAATGACTTTGTTTCCTCTTTGCAGTTTACATAGTTACACAAAATCGTTTTATTAATATTCACATAGCATCACATTCAATCTTTCTGTGCTTAGTGTTTTTAAGCAAAACAAATGTTCATGTATTGATGTTTTGATTGTTCATTTTATATCCCAAAGCTGATAGTTATAAATGGAACAAAATGCACAAACAGGTAAAAAAGTCAAATGTGCTTCTTTGACTAACTTGTACACAAACTTGTAAGCGAGATATAGCATTGGCAACAATAGCCATGCATTTCTATTCTAACAAAAAAGGCACAAACGAAATATCAATACGGAGTCATTCTGACACATATAAAGCTAATGATGCAAGTTACTGTCAGTCAGTTATTTGGCACATTTTCATTAACTGAGATAATTCCGGATCTACATTCTCTTACATGTCTGACTAGCCATTAGTCATTGCCAATGACAACATTAGCCCTCAGAGGCAGATTATATTTAGGTTTTTGTGCATGTGTATTTTTTAAAGATAAATTTTTTAAATATTTTAGAGTTTAACACAACACTCTTGCATCCTGGTGCAAAGACATGTTTTTAATGTCTTTAAAACATGTCTTAAAGAGACATGTTGAATAATCATGTCTCTATATATATAATCCCCCCCCCCTCCCCCTTCACATTCAACAGGTACCTCTGAAGGAATGACAAATACACAGTAAAAATCAGAACGCATCCAGTCATAAATCAGAGAATCTCCTTTCTTGAAGGAACAATAGCAGTAAATGTGAATATGGATGAAACCGAGCACTTCACTGCTGGAAGAATAAATGAAAGGTTCACTGGGAATGGGACGTCAACTAATCAGCAAGATATCCATTCAGATGCATTGTAACACTAAGAAAAGCCATTAAAACTCAATCTTTCTGATTCCAGGACCACCAATCATACACAACTATATTCAAAGGTCCCATGACTTTTACAGTTAATTTACATTACTTTTCCAAGCCTAGAAATCACACTTGTAAAATTAGGCTACCTCATATATCTAGGTTTTCCAAGACTGTGGGAACCACTGGTTTAGAGTGCAGCAACTTACTCAGTAGCAATTTATTTAATCTAAGTGAAAATGTAAGCGCAGAGAATTTATCTTGGTTTGGCAGCAAAAAGTCATGTTGAATATCGGATGTAAAGGTGCTGTAACAGATTTCAGCCATTATGTTAACTTTCACCTTTTTGCTAACCATATACCTGCTCTCCAAAATCGCAAGATCGCACCCTGTAAAAACATGTCAGTCAACCTGATTTCAGCAACTCCGAGCGATTCACAGGCAGACAGTGTTTCTGATTGGCTACAAAAGTGACTTTACTATTTTTACTGTTTACAGAGTGAAGGCTGGCAAATGATATCCCAAGACACCTATTTCAGTGATATCTGTCAGACAGCAGGACATGTTGTGCATGGCATTCTAAAATATTGCAAACAGTTCCTTCAAAATGTCCTCTTGTAAAATTTCCTGACTTTGTGTTTTTTTGGCACCTGTTACTCATACCTCAACGCAAGAAAATACAATTTCAACAGTCATCTTTGTGCAATGCCATAAGAGACAGAGCTGTAAGTCAAAAACTTCAGGAAGGATAAAAAAAAACAACAACCATAAGATGAAAACATAAGGTTAATTTCACACACAGGCATGATTTTTCTCCACATTCTTACTAACCCACCATGCACTGACACTTCCTCCTCTTTTTTTCCACATTAGTCCCATTGGCCGCCACTTTGTCATTCTCCTTATTCTGTACAACAACACTTTCTGAACCTCTAGCCTGACTCTGTTCTGTCAGTCTATCCTCTGGAGACGAGGGGGTGCTTTGATTTGAATTATCCAGCACTTCTCTCTGATATTTGTTTTTTTGAATGGCACCCTTCCCACCACCTGGTTGCTTCCCCCTCCCTCCCCCAGCACCTGAGATCACGTCCTCTGCCCGCTGCTGGGCCTCCATCTCCGACAAGCTGTAGGCCAGCGCCATCTGCAGGTCTTCATCCTCCTCATCTTCCTTGGCATCGGGGCAGTGGCAGAACGGGGCGGCGCTGTAGGAGCGTAAAGCGGGGTTTGGAGAGCTGTTGTTGGAGGGGTGGAGCAGTGGATGTTGGGATTGTCTGGGAGGCTGACTGGACTGCTCTCTACGACTCAGTTCCAGAGCTAAGGCCATCTCATCCTCCACACCTGGACACACAAACACAGCTGAATGTCAGATCAGTTCTGCAGCAACACGTTAGGTAATGAGGAATCTGCATATGGAAAACCAAGAAGCTGGCATGAAATGTAATGTGTTGGCTAAATCTACCTGCAAGCCTAAGCTGCTGTTTTGAGTCTATATTCAGAAATGTAAACAGTTGGAGGAAAATGTGTTATTATTCATTTTATTAAATGTTCTGGTATGGCTGTGTGGCTCAAATCATAAGAGAATAACTAAATTAGTGGTTTAGAGTTATTTGAGAAGTTCTTAGCACTAAAACAGGAAGTAAGGGTTTAAACATAAATAGTTCTACTTGTAATCTACAGTGACAAGTGAATGAATTAGAGAAAATTCCTTAGTTTTCACTGTAATAAAAGGGAAAAGTCCTTAAAACCTTTAAGGCAAGATGAAGTTATTTAGTAGACATTAGACAACAAGCAAAGATTAAGAAAACAAGGATAAAGATGTACCAAAAAATGACATGTCTTTGCACCAGGATGCAAGAGTGTTGTGTTAAACTCTAAAATATTTAAAAAATTCACTTTTATAACCAAGCCAAATGGTTATGATTTACACATACATTACCATTTAAATGTTTGGGGTCTAATAGCCCCTGCCTGTGTTTGACCCCTTCTCTTGTGAAATAAAGCTTGCACATGGATCCGCACGCCTCTCATCTCGTCAGCCCCGTTACAGGTATACCATTATTTGTATTTTCCAGTTATATGATCTCGTGATTTCCTACAAGTGTACTCTACTATTCAAAGGTTTGAGGTCGGTTAGATTTTTTTATGTTTTTGAAATAAGTCTCTTATGCTCACCAAGGCTGCATTTATTTGGTTAAAATACAGTAAAAATTAGAAATATTGCGAAATATTTTTACAATTTAAAAACTGTTTTCTATTTGAATATATTTTGAAATTATATCATGTCACATGATTCTAAAATATTTAAAAAATTCACTTTTATAACCAAGCCAAATGGTTATGATTTACACATACATTACCATTTAAATGTTTGGGGTCTAATAATGGTATTGTCACAAATCCTGTCCATGGACTTCCGTTCATTCACCACCAGAGGTCACCCTTTCCATTACATTGACTCTCGCACAACACAACTGTTGCATAGCACCCCGGACTACATATCCCATCATTCATTGCATTGATTACACACTGCACTGATTGCACACAGCTGTTTCATATCACTCACTCACTATATAACACCCACTCAAACAACCATTCTCCACTGAGTATTGTTTAGCCTGTACCCCGTTCCGAGTCTCTGTGTTTCCTTGTTTTGCCTTGCCTGTTCTCTCGGTTTTTGATCTTTGCCTGTTTTCCTGGATTTTTCCCTCTTGTCTCGCCCCTGTGATTCTGTCTGCCGATCAGTGACCTACGCTAGCCCTAGGACTATTCTTGTGTTTTGCTCGCCATATACCTGTTTGCCATTGATCGACCCTGCCTGTGTTTGACCACTTCTCTTGTGAAATAAAGCTTGCACATGGATCCGCACGCCTCTCATCTCGTCAGCCCCGTTACAGGTATACCATTATTTGTATTTTCCAGTTATATGATCTCGTGATTTCCTACAAGTGTACTCTACTATTCAAAGGTTTGAGGTCGGTTAGATTTTTTTATGTTTTTGAAATAAGTCTCTTATGCTCACCAAGGCTGCATTTATTTGGTTAAAATACAGTAAAAATTAGAAATATTGCGAAATATTTTTACAATTTAAAAACTGTTTTCTATTTGAATATATTTTGAAATTATATCATGTCACATGATCCTTCAGAAATCATACTGATTTGCTGCTCAAGAAACATTTATCATCATTTAGCAATGTTGAAAACAGTTGTGCGGCTTTATATTTAGTGGAAACACATTTGACATTTTTTCAGGATTCAATTGATGAACAAAGTTAAAAAGAACAACATTTATTTCAAATAGAAATCCTTTGTTACATTATAACAATAGATTGTCTTTACTGTATTTAAAACAAGATTAATTTAATGCATTCTTTCTGAATAAAAGCATTCATTTCTTTAAAAAAACAAATCTTACTGAACCCAAACGTTTGAAGGGTAGGTTATGTGTATTAGTATTCCAAATGCATCTTTCCCAGGCAGATTCATCCTGAGCTGATAAGGTGAATTTTTATTGCACACCAGAATGTGTGCATTAACTATAGAGATTGTCTTTTGGCCTTATAATATTATTAAATGATAGCAAAAAATGTATTACCATTGATGAGGACAGTTTTCAAAACCCCATCCTCCTCAACCTCTGTTCTCTCCTGGCCATTTTCTCTGACCCTGAGGGAAGAAATGCAATGTTTACCAATAAATAGGAAATGCATAAACTTGAATTGCTTTGACTTTCTGTAAGTCATGCCTTCACATTATGGCAAGGTATAATTTTACTATTCTACATCAACTGCAATTAAATTACTCATTTAATCAAAAACAAATGTTTAATGTGCAGGATGCATTTTTCTGTGATTTCAAAATCACATTTCAAATAAATTGAAATAAAAATTGGTATAATGAGAAGCAAACTGACTTTTTTGTGGTAATACGTTTTCCATTGACAATGCGGGTGGAAGTAGAAACAGACTTGAAGTTTGCTCCTCCCATGCTGCCCATACCACCCATTGAAGAAGAGAAGGAGGTGAAATCAGCTGTTGATAAAAAAAAAAAAAGCAGCTCTTAATAAATTGAAAACACAATATAAAGCAATTGGAACTATACTTTCATATCAACAACATGCCTTGGAGTTTTTTATCTTATCAAGATATATTCAGCAAAGTTCACCTAAATTAAGTAATAATCTGGGAGAAGACTGACCACATATGCTATAATTATATAAAAAATAAGCATGAAACCAGTTTAAAAACCAACCATTAGCTGAGGGGAAGGAGAAGAAGCGACTGGGCCCAAGCCTGGAGGAGGAGCTGTGAAACCCACTGTGCATTCCACCAAATGGGAAATCATCTAGTGGCAAAGTGGGGGAGTGTAGAAAAAGCAAGAGGGTTATAGAGGGTAATGCTAAGTACACACTGCATGATTTTATTCCCGATTCTTGCAATCTAAGAGAAGCGCCAATTTGTCCCCGATACCCTGGAAATTAAATCGCCAATGACTTATAGCCTATGAGAGAGCAAGATACGGGGCAAGGGAAAGTTCAGGAGGAGGAATCAACAAAACATCAGCAAGCAACCATTCTCTTTAATATTCTTCTTTTTATTTATTAATTTTGTTGTTTCAAATCAGCGTACAGACAACTTGTATTGCAAGCTTCTTGTGGGCTACAATTTTTTTTTTGATTTATTTTTGGCCTTAATATCTAAGCTGATATGTACCTCTGGTACGTCTGTTTTAGTTTTTAGCATTTTAATTAAGATCATGAACTAAATTTAAACCGATACCGATATGGTGGCCGATATATCGTGCATCCCTAATTGGAACTATACTTTCATATCAACAACATGCCTTGGAGTTTTTTTATCTTATCAAGATATATTCAGCAAAGTTCACCTAAATTAAGTAATAATCTGGGAGAAGACTGACCACATATGCTATAATTATATAAAAAATAACCAGTTTAAAAACCAACCATTAGCTGAGGGGAAGGAGAAGAAGCGACTGGGCCCAAGCCTGGAGGAGGAGCTGTGAAACCCACTGTGCATTCCACCAAATGGGAAATCATCTAGTGGGGGAGTGTAGAAAAAGCAAGAGGGTTATAGAGGGTAATGCTAAGTACACACTGCATGATTTTATTCCCGATTCTTGCAATCTAAGAGAAGTGCCAATGTGTCCCCGATACCCTGGAAATGAAATCGCCAATGACTTATAGCCTATGAGAGAGCAAGATACGGGGCAAGGGAACGTTCAGGAGGAGGAATCAACAAAACATCAGCAAGCAACCATTCTCTTTAATATTCTTCTTTTTATTTATTAATTTTGTTGTTGTTGTTTCAAATCAGCGTACAGACAACTTGTATTGCAAGCTTCTTGTGGGCTACAATTTTTTTTTTTGTTTGTTTTTTTGGCCTTAATATCTAAGCTGATATGTACCTCTGGTACGTCTGTTTTAGTAATTTTATGACGTATTAGGGGCCCCCTGGATGTTTGCAGAGACCCCTTAGTGGGCCCCGGTCCCCTGGTTTTGAGAAACACTGCAGGGCTCGCAAAATTTCAAAATCCCTGGTAGCCCTTCGGGCAGGCATTCTTCAGATTTTGGTGGCCCAAAAATGAATTTAACTAGCCCGAATAAAAGATATTGTACTTTTTCTTCAAATAACAAGTCAAGAGAGTAGGGGTGCAACGGACCATAAATCTCACGGCTCGGATTATATTACATTATCATATCACATTCTGAGTCACAGATCGGATCATTTTTCAGATGAGCAAAAAAAATATGGTTATTTATTATTTAAGTAACACTTATTATTTAAAGAACAATTTACTACTTCGATACCACAGCAAAAACTAGTAGCATATAGGGATGTAATGATTCACTCAACTCACAATGTGATATGATTCACGATACTGATTTCACAATACAATTTTCTCACAATTTCTTTTTTAACAAAATGAGATTTAAGATTTTTTTAAAAAGTGTCCTTTGGTTATTTCTCAGACCAAAAGGCTGCACATTACTTTGGGAAATTGAAAATGTCAAACAATATACTAACTTTAAATTTTAAAACAAATCCCAAATCAAATAAATAAATAATACAAATAAAATATATGTCTCCATGCAAGTAAACTAAGGTTTTGCCTGTGTATTTTAATCACGATCCGAACAAAGATGCTGCATACATGTTATTTAGATTGTGAAATTTGAAACAAAAATAAAATGGTCTGACTTTAGCTTTGTGATACAACATAAAACATCTGAACGAAACAAAAACAGCAGACAGGCTGAATGAGATGCAAATGTCACTCTCTGACAGCAGGTGGCGCTTAAACAGCAGGTATATTTATAGGCTGCTGCCCCTTTAAGACCGAATGCACGGATCCAATATAATGATGCACCTGCGATTTCTTACTCCACGGTTTACGTTCATTTAAGACATGAAAACTTGCCGAGATAGTTATTTTGAGATAATTTTGCGTGTATGTGTCCATTCATACGTTCGTGCTCTGCCTGAAACGCTGCTCTATATGTGTGTGTGTGCGCGCGAGGCGAGCACCGAACTGAATTCTTCATGTGCATGGATGGTTTAAAACGCTTGAATGTTTAAATTGGTAAGACATAGAAACATGATAAACTATGATCCGTTTCACCCCTACAAGCGAGTGATATTTTGAGATAATTTTGCGTGTATGTGTCCATTCATACGTTCGTGCTCTGCCTGAAACGCTGCTCTATATGTGTGTGTGCGCGCGAGGCGAGCACCGAACTGAATTCTTCATGTGCATGGATGGTTTAAAACGCTTGAATGTTTAAATTGGTAAGACTTAGAAACATGATAAACTATGATCCGTTTCACCCCTACAAGTGAGTGAACAATGCAAATTAAGGAAGGGATTTTATATCACTATTCAAGATAGCCCGTCGGGCAGGGCAGTGATACATTTTGGTAGCCCAACTGGAAAACACAATAGTCCCGGGACGTTGGGCTAGCGATTTTGCAAGCCCTGCACTGGTATAAGGGAAATTCTGACACAAAGAAAACACTCTCACTAGTATATGAGCAAGATTCAAGATCAGCATATCTACCCACTAACTCCCTGAGAACCCACCAAAGAAGTCTGCGAACGGGTCCTGCCCTCCGAAGAACTCTCGAAACACCTCATCTGGGCTGCGGAATGTGAAGGTGAATCCTGGGAAGTCATCAGGAAATGACGAACCACCAGAGCCTATAAAACAGATGTAGAAAACAATTAAAATATCACATAAGCACATTTAACAATAAGACGGTATCAAGCAGTATGAAGTTCTCCTCACCTGAGCTTGGCATGTCTGATCTACCGTATCTGTCGTAAGCATCTCGTTTGCTTCCTTGAAAATGAGAAAAAAACAATGTAACACCCTACGTAACTTATGCCTTTCAAGTAATAAAATAGCTGTAGAGTTCAAATTTCCAGTGTCCTACTGTCTGAAAGAACTTCATAGGCCTCTGCTATCTCCTTAAATTTGGTCTCCGCCTCTTCCTTGTTGTCTGGGTTTTTGTCAGGGTGCCACCGTAGAGCCTGTTTCCTGTAACTGTATACACAAACATTAACAAACATGAGTAAACTTAGCTTGACTGGCATCTCAAGATTGTGATGAAGTGACATATAGGGTCAAGGGTCATTCACACATGACACATTCTTGCATCCATCTTCTTCTATATAAACATTAGACTGACATATTAGACTGCTGTGATTCATATTTGTTTTTAGCATCTTGCTTCAAGAATTGCACATTTTTGAGTCAAGTTAAATATTGTCCTTTGTGAATGATCACTTTTTTACAACTCAGGCATCTCAGCTTGATCATTCTACTTCATTTGAAGGAAAAGCAGAAAATAAAAACTAGTGGCAAAACTATAAAATCCATTAGTCTTATCTTTAGTAAAGTGTGGCTTTACTAAAGATGTCAGCATAGATCAAATAGTCAGAGTTACATGCCACAGCAAAGAAGCAGAATTCAATTGTATGACATTGTCATTTATGACCTTAATTTTCAAAATATTTAAATGCACATCTGTTTTGAACATTGCTAATAATATTAAAAGTTTCTTGGGCACCGAATCGGCATATTCGAATGATTTCTGAGGACACACACACACACAACTCCCTATAAATACAGCATTTCAGAGACCCAGCTATGCCTGTGGCCGCCCTATTATACCAGCCTTTACCTTTTTTAGAAGTATATCCAGCCAGGAGGAGTCGTGCTTCTGTAAACAGGGCTGAGATATTTCGCTGCAGCTCTAGTCCGTCCCGTCTCCCAGACGCGGATCACAGGAACTGACGCTCTTTTAACGTACGCGTGGGTACGGAATTCCGTCAGAATCAGCCATTTGCCGTCGGCACACCGGGCTTCATTACTGCTTCAGCGTGAACCCGACACCCCCAGCTTCTATATGCGTCTGTCCTTCGCCCTGTGCCGCGAATGCGGTGCGTCAGGATCAGCTGAGCTGCGGTCCGAGAAACAGCGCCGTCGAGAACAAGCCAGTGTTTGTTTCCATCACGAGCCCCGCCCACTACTGAGCCATGTGCCGCACAGAAGCGCACGCCAGTCAAGTACTAATCAGAATGAACTAATGAATGCATTGATGGTGTTTAAAGAAAGATAACGCATCGTATCAGGCTAGTAGTAGTATTCTGAACGGATTGTACTACTAGTTTAACAAATGTCATAAAAACAGGAACTGCGCTAAAATATGGACGCAGACTTTGAAATAAATATTTAAATTCGATGAATGAATAAAGCCTCTTTTTAATCTGCAAGATAATGCGTGCTATTCACTTAAAGGCAGCAATGTTTAGGGATTGTCCACTCAGAAAGTTAAAACATTGTCATCATTTACTCACCCTTATGTCTTCCAAAGCCCATATAAGTTAAAAGATAATAAAAGAAAAGCCTACAGATTTATGTTGAGCAGATTTCATATCAGTCTGTAAACTGACAGCTGATCCTGTTGTGGGTACATTTCAGCAACCTAAAAATGCTGAAATAAAGAATAACTAAATAAAACTGATAACAATAGTAATAATAAATACAAATGTAAAGCTTTAGGTTTAGTAAACTCTTTACCCAACATTTTCTTAATTTTTTACTCTGCCAGACAAGTCATTTAAAATGATTTCCCAAATTCCAAAGCATAGTAGGCCTATGGTTGCCTACATTTGACACCATTTCATAAGCATTTACTACAAAACACATAGAGTTGGCGGAATCTTTGAATATAATCTGCTGAATAGGTTCACAAATCACACTAAACGATTCATTTCTTATTTTAAATGGTTTTACTCTTTTTTTTTTCTCTCGAGTCAACAACTCACTAATTCAATGATCTGTTCAGAGCTGGTCTCCTATTAATATCTTATTGACTCAAAACTAACCAAGTATGCCGTTGTAGCAGTTTCAAACGATAAGTAGCTTTGAGTTCTTCTTAAAATGTTAAGATTACCCCCCATGTGACATTTTTTTTATATTGTAGGGTTAGGGTTAGTAGTATATTTATACTACTGTATGTTTGATAATCTATATCTGTGTAGTATAGTATATTTCAGTTTACTCGTTTGATAGTGTATGGCAATTTTTTTGTAATAAAATTAAACATTTGTTCACTAGAATTAACCAGAATGTGGTGAAGCCACCGGAAGTGCTTGAGCGGTCATATTAGTATGCCCAATCACCGTTACTGACCAAAAGCCCCTTTTGGCCTGCTGTAACAAACAAAAAAACAGGAGGGAGGGACGGGGGGTTATGCACTTACACCCTTACTGGAGATTCTGTGAATCTCCTTTGTCTGCTGGTTCACATCAGCTAAAAACAGAAACCACCTGTTCTAAGATCATGGCGTGGGCCTACACAGTCTCTAGTCTCATAAAATGAATAGCAGAACAGGTGAAAGTCCCAGGACATTACGAGCTGCAGCTTACATGTTCTCCACCACTAATTCCAGCTGATTCCTCACATGAGCATCAACATCAGAATCCTGTGCACTGCTGTTCAGCTGTTTATAATTAGACTATTAATCACTTTCAGCTCACAGATATTATTACTATTATCAGCACAATAAATAAACAATAAAAAATATAATATAAGTAAATGTAATACCCAGCCCAGGCACTAAGAAGATCTAGCTGCATAAATGAATGTATCCACAAACATTTTGTATATAAGCAAATCACCTGGCATCTCATGTGACAGGACAACTTTATTTTCTATATGTTTATGGAAGAAAATGGTATTCCGCACCTTTTAAAACAAATATAGTGAACATCTATGTAGGGCTACTAGGCTACTACTACGCGTGTCATAAAAACAGGAACTGCGCTAAAATATGGACGCAGACTTTGAAATAAATATTTAAATTCGATGAGTGAATAAAGCCTCTTTTTAATCTGCAAGATAATGCGTGCTATTCACTTAAAGGCAGCAATGTTTAGGGATTGTCCACTCAGAAAGTTAAAACATTGTCATCATTTACTCACCCTTATGTCTTCCAAAGCCCATATAAGTTAAAAGATAATAAAAGAAAAGCCTACAAATTTATGTTGAGCAGATTTCATATCCAGTCTGTAAACTGACAGCTGATCCTGTTGTGGGTACATTTCAGCAACCTAAAAATGCTGAAATAAAGAATAACTAAATAAGTAATGTACCAAGTACTTATGATGAGTAGCTATATTGAATATTTGATTGGCAACAGAATTACCAAGCTGTCATTCGCATTTACTACAAAACACATAGAGTTGGCGGAATCTTTGAATATAATCTGCTGAATAGGTTCACAAATCACACTAAACGATTCATTTCTTATTTTAAATGGTTTTACTCTTTTTTTTTTCTCTCTCGAGTCAACAACTCACTAATTCAATGATCTGTTCAGAGCTGGTCTCCTGTCATTCAAACCAGGGGCGGATTGGCCATCTGGCAATTCTGGCAAATGCCAGAGGGGCAGGACCATTTTGTTTAATATGGGCCGGTCAGATTTTTTCTAAATATATATAAATAAAATTGTTTTTACGGGCCAACAGCGCATAGGACGGGTTTTTATCGCTTGCACAATTTCTCTATGGTTATAGTAATAATAATGTTAATAATAAATAAATGTTAAGCATTTGGCCCAGAAAAATATGTAAAAATGTACAAAATAATTTACTAACTTCAGTTGACAGCTATTATATACTGTTTGTCTATTCAACTTACCCGTAAACACAAGACTGTGATCTTCTGCCAGGAACATCAGGTCAATCTGCTGCTGTCCAGAATCAGATGGTTTGTCTTCGTCTGGCATCTCAGCTGAGACCTGTCCACTCTGGGTGACCTTACAGTAGCTGTGAAGAACCAGTGGTGTAGCTCTCAGCATCACTGATGCACACAAGCCCTCACAGCACGTCAAGCTGCAAACCTATTCATTTGTGTACTTCATCCACCCTGGTTGACGGCAAAAAAAAAAAATTCCGCAATGTTAAACTTTTGCAAGCTTGTGCATGACACTAGGTGTCAGTATAACACTAGGTGTCATATTTTCTTTCTTTGAGCTAATCACCATGTCATACATTTTATGGCTGTCTATAGAGAAAAATATTTGTTTTGCCTGTAGAATGTAGTTACAACATCTACCAGCAGCTAATTGCCCATGCTAACCAGCCTTACCTTGATCCCATGGTATCTCTATCAACTGCAATCCCAAAGTATCTGTGTATGTAGTTTTTAAAAACGTGTGAAATGAATTTATATTTAAAAAATGTGTGAAATGAATTTTTTTTATTGAATGCGGTAAATTACAAATAAATAACTTGTGTACATACAGTAGAGTAATATATCTGTGTAGTATAGTATATTTCAGTTTACTCGTTTGATAGTGTATGGCAATTTTTTTGTAATAAAATTAAACATTTGTTCACTAGAATTAACCAGAATGTGGTGAAGCCACCGGAAGTGCTTGAGCGGTCATATTAGTATGCCCAATCACCGTTACTGACCAAAAGCCCCTTTTGGCCTGCTGTAACAAACAAAAAAACAGGAGGGAGGGACGGGGGGTTATGCACTTACACCCTTACTGGAGATTCTGTGAATCTCCTTTGTCTGCTGGTTCACATCAGCTAAAAACAGAAACCACCTGTTCTAAGATCATGGCGTGGGCCTACACAGTCTCTAGTCTCATAAAATGAATAGCAGAACAGGTGAAAGTCCCAGGACATTACGAGCTGCAGCTTACATGTTCTCCACCACTAATTCCAGCTGATTCCTCGCATGAGCATCAACATCAGAATCCTGTGCACTGCTGTTTATAATTAGACTATTAATCACTTTCAGCTCACAGATATTATTACTATTATCAGCACAATAAATAAACAATAAAAAATATCATATAAGTAAATGTAATACCCAGCCCAGGCACTAAGAAGATCTAGCTGCATAAATGAATGTATCCACAAACATTTTGTATATAAGCAAATCACCTGGCATCTCATGTGACAGGACAACTTTATTTTCTATATGTTTATGGAAGAAAATGGTATTCCGCACCTTTTAAAACAAATATAGTGCACATCTATGTAGGGCTACTAGGCTACTACTACGCTTACCTTGATCCCATGGTATCTCTATCAACTGCAATCCCAAAGTATCTGTGTATGTAGTTTTTAAAAACGTGTGAAATGAATTTATATTTAAAAAATGTGTGAAATGAATTTTTTTATTGAATGCAGCAAATTACAAATAAATAACTTAAGTGTACATACAGTAGAGTAATTAATCACATATTCATGAGATATCTCTCCAGATATTACAGACTTCCTTAATGCCTACTGATATTTTATTGCTGCAATGTGAGACATTTACGCTCTCTAACTCAAAAGATATTTCTAATGACATTTTAAATGCTTTAAAAACTTTAGAAGATATCTTAAATGGATTGCTTTATCTTGGCGGCCTTATAATTTTTTTTGTCTAGATATGGACAAGAAAACACAGAAGAAGGCACAATAAATAATTCAACAAAAGGTGCTAAAAATATGAAATAAATAAATATGAACTTGTTTAATTGTAAAATATTTTTCATAGAAGTATTATGTCTGAGACCAGAGAGACGACACACAAAAGAATAAATTCTACCTTTTATTATTCCAATTTTATTAATGTAAAACCAATTGTAATGCAAATTGAATTTCAAGTAACTTTGTGTTTTGCAAAAATCTGATTTAATTTTGCCAGGCATTAATTCTGCCTCTTTAATATTCTTCTCCCTCTTCGTCCTCATCTCCGACGCTGTCGGTGCCGACTTCTTCATAATCTTTCTCCAGATGTTTATGGAAGAAAATGGTATTCCGCACCTTTTAAAACAAATATAGTGCACATCTATGTAGGGCTACTAGGCTACTACTACGCTCCACATTACTAGCGCATGCGCATTCGCGCTCGTTCAGGAGACGCTTGCTGTCAGCTCCGGATTCATCAAGTGAGTTAAATGCTTTACTTTCCAAATAAATATATTCACACTGACGACAGCATACTGTAAGTGTGATAGAACAACCTACACATGCAAAGACAATGAAGCGAATACCCGTACATGTGAAGTTACTAGTTAGAATGCGCTGAGAGATTGTGAATACGCCGTAGCAACGCACTCCACGTAATTCGACCAGTCAAAAATCAACAGCAGTCACTAAAAAGAGAAGAATTTACAACAGTTATTTCTGAAAGGCATATCAGCATATTGAATTATTACATACAAAATTATTATCAGAAGTAGGTGGCGGCTCAGGGGAGGCATAGCTTCCCAATAATTTTGAGGTGAAAATGGGAGGAGGACGATTTAAGGAACAGCTGGCGATATATGCCTGTGCGCACCTCATCTGAAGAGGAAAAAAACGGAAAAGCCTAAGTCCCTTTTCTTTTTTTATTCACAGTAGCAAATAAGAAGAAGAAGAAATCTAAATGGTCCAATAAATCAAGAAAAACAAATAAAGGTAATTTCCATAAAAGTGATTACTTATCAGGAAATCTATTTTGTAAAACTGTTGCTTTTCCAATATTTTGTAAAATGGTTTTCATGATCATTTAAATGGGTTATATTCTGTTTCTCAGGTTCAACTTACCAATCACAGTGGGTTCTAGATCAACAAAGATGGCACGTGGAACATGTTTCCCTGCTCCAGTCTCACTGAAGAAGGTGTTGAAGGAATCGTCTCCTCCTCCTATTGTCTTATCACTGGGCATCTGTCCATCTGGCTGAATACCGTGCTCCAGACAGTAAAGCTCCCAGCATGCATTTCCCATTTGGGCCCCAGCTTGGCCAACATGCATAGAGATACACTCACGCTAAAGGAAGAAGGAGAGTTATATTAAAAATATGAATGTAAGAGGCAGCTGTACATATCTTTGCTAAATGCTCTAAGCTAAAAAGAATAGTAACATGTTAGCTCCTAATATTTAACTTTTATTTAACTATGTCATATTTAACCGAGGGGGCCAGTTCTCGGCAAACTTCCAAAGGGAACCTCAAGGTGACTTAAAGTTATTTAAAATATGACAAAACAAGCATTAAAATAAACATAAATAAATACATATCAAGATATTCCTTATTTTAATTTACTCCCATTATTAATGGTTTATTTCCTTTGAAGAATCAGGGTTCCCAAAGTCTAGGAAAACCAGATATTTTTTTTTAGACCTAGAAAAGTAGTTTAAAGAAATAAAATCTTAAAATGTTATGGGCATTTTTATAATGAATGTAAATATTTCCTAGTTATGCCAAACAAACTCGTTTGTCATATATTTAATTATTTTAATTACAATTATTTTAGTTCATGTTTTATAAAGAAACTAGCCCGTAGAGTAAAATAAGTTTTGAAAAGAAAACTAGGGCCAGGGGCCTTGAAGTCAAAAAGGCTGAGAACCACTGAACTAAATGTTCTTTTATTGATTTGAATCCATCTTATTTTTCCCATAAGAGTGGGCGCGGCCACTTGTAAATTTAATGTGTCAGGCTTCCAGTGTCATCAGCTTCCAGCTATTTTTAGCTGTACAAAACAGCTCGTTTTGCTGCCTGATATTCCAAATTGTTGTCTTACCATAATATTTTAATGTATTGTCTTAGTTATGAACACACTGATTTGTAGTGCAAATAGTTTTACCATTTACGGCACGTTGTTATTCTTCTTGTTATTTCCCTACAGCGGCTAATGAACCTGAAGTCTCGCACATTCACAGAAAAACGGCTTAATTCCACGTTGAAAAATAAGATGGATAAGGAATTTATATAGTTAGGTTAACATGCTGACTGAGCTCACCCAAAGCTCAATACTGTCAACTTCATGCATTTTCCTAAGCTTTTGGACCTATTGTTCAATGGAGAACTCAGTTTTTTTCCTTCTAATTACATTTACATGCATGTTTTACCCTCTCCTCTAGACTGGGTCATAGGATCTCTAGTGTACAGAAGAAGAGACTGAGTGCGTTCCTTTGAGACCTCAGTCCACCCCCTCCCTGTCCCAGCTGTACACTCTCCTTTGTGTAACACAGAGATATCTCTCTCAGGGCTTTTCACTAGAACAGTTATATCTATTATTCTGCTATGCTCCAGATTTTGTCACTCATGATCTCATCTACTACCAATGCCTCTCTGTATGTCATAAAGGCATGAATGTATTTAGTTTCTGAGTAATAATTGCATGTCTCATGCTGTAGTTCCCCTATTCCTCCTCTTTAGTTGACTGAGTTTCAGTGAGCTATTTTGGCTCTGCAGACCCACCAAACATAAATAAATGTTATATTCAGAAAAGGCAAAGTACTGGAGTTTCCTGCTGACATGTGTCATAGTCTGGGATCAGGCTTTGAAGGCCGTAGCCACATCCTCTGTATAATGAAAGGCCAGCTTTGTGCCTGAAACTCAGCATGGCTTAATGATTTACATTTGATTATTTTTATAAACCTGTTTCAATAGTTGAACTACAGTGCTGCTAACTTTGTCTTCCACACAAAAATAATACACATAAGAGAATTTTTAAGCTATCATAGACTTTACTTAAATCTTTTAACATGCCTTAAGTGCACTAAATGTGAAATAATGCACATATGTGCATTTTAATGGAGCGATATATAAAAAGATTAGAATTAAGAATCGATCAAGCACTATGAACTTACCATCTTGTCAGATTTCCCTTCAGGCCGACTTGAGGATTCGGAAAGAGAAGGCAGATGTAGAGAAGAAAGGAGAGGTGGGGTTTTTATAGAGAAGGAAGAGGGAGGAGGAAGAGAGGGGGTTAGCAGGAAGTGGGATCGCCTGTCGGAGTGAGGAAAGTCATTCAGAAGGGCCGTCCTTCCTACACAAGCATAGTCTAGCTCCCTCTTGGGACTTTTGGGTCTGTGAAAAAAAACATCTGGCCCCTTTACCAGCTTTTTGGGCATTCGATAATGCTAAAAGCCAGGAAGGAATTTTACGGACTATATGTCAAAATTCTCCATGGTCATGTGTTAAAGTTGCATAGCAACTGTATAGGAAAATTGATATCTTGACTATTTGTAATATAATGCTTACAGCAGGATTCTGAATTCTTTGTGATTCCTGCATGAAGAAAAGCAAGTTTAAAGACTTCAGGGTGAAAGTGTCATTTCATATCAGTAATTACTTCACAAGTCTTTTGTGTGTAAAAAAACATTTTTGTGTCAAAGTACTGTAAACACAGCCCTATATTTGAAAACAGATATGTCTTTATCTCTTTCTCTGTTTACAAAGCATAAAAAGCACTATTGACTAAGATTTTCTATAGACATGGTTTTTGCTATACAGAAAGAGACACACAGGCCCAGTTGTCATCAGACTTTAATTTCTCTGCTACAGTGATAATGAAAGCAGAGACATTATCCAGGCTTTCATAGTGATGCCCAGTGACATGTACAAACAGCTGAATCATGAATAACAGCTATAGCAGTTGGTCATTTTTGTGCTGCATAGACACCGGTGGGGGGAAGGGCGTCTTCCTGGAAAATATTCTGTTTTGCATGTAGGCCTTTATCACTTTTGCATGTGCAAATATATTCCGATTTTTAAACAAATAACATGTCCAACTGTATACTATATCATGAAAGGAGTGCAGATAACACATTTTTAGAAAGAACTTGTCACCAGACTTTTTACTGCTTCTACTACTGCTTTTACAGTTAATTTGAACTTTTTTAATAGATTTAAGTTTAGCATTAAACAGAAAAAAAAACAGAAAAAGAATTAGGAACATTTAGTTAATGCATTAACATGAACAAACCATAAACATTTCATGAACTAACAATGTAAGCTTTTACACTATTGACTAATCGAGGTTAATTAAAAAACATTTATTATTGATCATATGTGTGTTAATTCATTAACATATGTTAATTTATACAACTTAAAATGTTTAAATGTAGAAATTACCAAAGATGAATAAATGCTGTAAAAGCATTTTTCATTAATATTTTATGTTAACTCATAGAATCTCATTATGAAGTGATACCAAAGAATGTAAAGCCCCCAAAACACTAAAATGCTGCATTTTAGAAGATAAAATTAATATTAGATTACCCTGAGATTACAAACAATCTGCATTTAAAATTCCACACCGTCCTCATCATCTCCGACGCTGTCGGTGCCGACTTCTTCATAATCTTTCTCCAGAGCTGCCATATCTTCTCTGGCCTCTGAGAACTCTCCTTCCTCCATTCCTTCACCCACATACCAGTGCACGAATGCTCTCTTGGCGTACATCAGGTCAAACTTGTGGTCTAGACGAGCCCAGGCCTCAGCAATGGCTGTAGTGTTGCTCAGCATGCAGACGGCTCTCTGAACTTTGGTCAGATCGCCACCAGGAACCACAGTTGGAGGCTGATAGTTGATACCTACTTTGAATCCAGTGGGACACCAGTCAACAAACTGGATGGTGCGTTTGGTCTTAATGGCAGCGATGGCAGAATTGACGTCTTTGGGCACCACATCTCCACGATACAGAAGGCAGCAGGCCATGTATTTACCATGACGAGGATCACACTTCACCATCTGATTAGACGGCTCAAAGCAGGCGTTGGTTATGTCAGCCACAGATAGCTGCTCATGATACGCCTTTTCAGCAGAGATCACAGGAGCGTATGTAGCCAGAGGGAAATGAATACGTGGGTAGGGCACCAAGTTGGTTTGGAACTCGGTGAGATCCACATTCAGAGCTCCGTCAAATCTCAGCGAGGCCGTGATGGAGGACACAATCTGCCCGATGTGCCTGTTGAGGTTGGTGTTGCTCGATGTCCAGGTTTTTACGGCAGATGTCATAGATGGCTTCATTGTCCACCATGAAGGCACAGTCAGAGTGCTCCAGGGTGGTGTGGGTGGTCAGGATGGAGTTGTAGGGCTCCACCACCGCTGTGGACACTTGAGGAGCAGGATAGATGGCAAATTCGAGCTTGGACTTCTTGCCGTAGTCGACAGAGAGGCGCTCCATCAGCAGAGAGGTGAAGCCAGAGCCAGTACCTCCACCAAAGCTGTGGAACACCAGGAAACCTTGGAGGCCAGTGCACTGATCACTCTTTTGAAAGAAAAGAGAAAAAGAGCTCACCAAAAAGACTCATTTTTACCTCATTACATTATTACAAACTTATAAATTAGACTGAAAAGTATTACCAGTTTGCGAATACGATCCAGAACTGAATCAATGATCTCCTTGCCAATGGTGTAATGTCCCCTGGCATAGTTATTGGCAGCGTCCTCTTTTCCAGTGATGAGTTGTTCTGGGTGAAAGAGTTGGCGGTAGGTGCCGGTCCGTACTTCATCTACATTCAAAGAAGGAAGTTTCAATCAGACTTTTTGCTTTCAATTCACTAAAAGGACATAATTTTAGTATTCTCATGTACATGCTATTTTAAACCATTTTAAATTTGTCCCATACCAATCACAGTGGGTTCCAGATCAACAAAGATGGCACGTGGAACATGTTTTCCTGAAGCCGTCTCACTGAAGAAGGTGTTGAAGGAATCATCTCCTCCTCCTTTTGTCTTATCACTGGGCATCTGTCCATCCGGCTGGATACCGTGCTCCAGACAGTAAAGCTCCCAGCATGCATTACCAATCTGTGCTCCAGCTTGGCCAACATGGACGGAAATGCACTCACGCTGCAGATTGAGAATTATTTACTTTCATATTAATTTATTTAATCATACAGACCAAATATATGAATATTGAAATAATGTGTAATAGAAAAAAAGTTGGTATGTGTTACCATATTGTATTTTGTCTTCCAGCCGATGCTCAGGGTTCGGAACGAAGCTCTAAATGTGTCAAAGTCTGACACCGAACATTTATTTATACCTGGAGCATCATGCGGCTACAGTGTTCTTTGTAATCTGAGAAACCCCTGATGTCGATACTATCTTCAGGCTGAAAAAGGAGGAAGACAAAAAGAAAAATGAGGTTAGCACCTCCTACACTCATAGGAATAGCTTATTGTTAGTGCAAGGTATGAATTTGAATAGACGGGTGATGAACAATATTACAAAAAGCTCCTTTGATCCTCTGGGGAGCATTCTGACAAGCACAGCTGAGCAAACTTTATGCCTTTACAAGTGCAAAATCTTGGTTCATGTATTCTCAACACAAAGAAGCATATATCTAAGAAATAATTTGTAGGTTACTCATGCAGAGGAACCACTTTCATGAATTAATAATGGCTCCTCTTATTACCGAGAGTAATGTGATATCCTCTCTGTGTGCTCTGAATGAGGTTTGTTGCAGGAGAGTGAAAAATAATACAATAGTTGCTCAGATTGACTTATATAGATACTGAAAACTATATACCTTAAAATTTTCTTTTATGTGACTTCCTGAAAATTGCAAAAACACAGTGCACATCCTTTTTCTTGTAACCCTAGCCTGAGTATCTGCTGCTCAGACAAAGCCTGTTTGAATGTGAACAGAATTAAGATGATTTTTTAGTTCTTGATTTATCAATTTCACGTCTCTGTGACTACATGTATCTGTTTACAAAAGTGCCTTCAAATTAAAACATGACTGTACAGGGATCACTTTACTTCAGAAGTAATACTCTTAATGTGTGTAGAATATTAAATTTCACTGTTTCATGTTTTGCTTCCAGCTTTCCTCTGGCATGTAGTGTTATTACAACCAAACAAAAAAAAAAGAATGTCATTAGTCTTATATATTGCTTGGTAAATTATTTCTTCATTCTACAGATAAATATTGACTCCATATGTCGACTGTCGTTTTATAAACTCAGTCAACTTTAATGTTAACTTTTACTTTACTCTAAAGTTTTTTTATGCTAGCCCCTAGTGGTTGTAAAAGGTAAACGAGAAACATGGCATAATCCGAATAAACAGTCCATTTAACAATTTGACCAGCAGAGATGGCAGAAAAACCTTTTGGCAGAATTTTTCATTCAGAGTAGTAAATGTTTGTTTCAAGTTTACTGCATGGTTAATTACCATGGAATATGCAAATCCAATAAAGTACATTTTCTACTTTTCTGTTAATTTCTCTAAAAGATTTGAATAAACATCTCCCTTGTACATCTCAGAATTGAATAGCACTATTGATATTGCTGGTGTTTGATTTGTTCTTGTTACCGTAACCGTGACTGGATAAACCTGTTTCCTCATCTGCTTGACTGTTAAGTTAGGGCACTTTAAGCTGGCCATTTATTAACAGACAGAACAAATCAGAAGTCTATATGCTAATAGCATCTGACTGATTACCACATGGTGTAATTTGTATGTTTGCAACTAATGAATGTAGCTGAAAAATATTGCACTTAAAGTTTAAGTCAGACAGCTTGGTATCAAAGGCCTAGGTTTATGACAAAAATACATTATTAATTGACAGACCAAAAAAAACCAACCAATAGTCGTACTTTTTTTTCTTCTTCTTCTCTCTTTCCATACAGCAGATATTTGTTTATGGGGGCCAGATGAGTGTCCAAATGAGTAAAAGCTGTGGGGAGCTGTGCAGTTCGGAGCACAGCTTTCAGCCTGATGGCCAGATTCCCAGCTGCTGGTGAACCAATGCATGATGACCCCTTTACCCCCTTCTTCAGCGAGAACAATGCTGGAAAACGTGTCCAGCAGCGAGCCTCCTTTATTGATCTGGAAACTTCTGTTATTGGTATGTCAGTCTTCAAAGTGATAGATATCAGCCAATCAGTGTTTCCTGTGTGTCACTTTAGATAGCA